GAAGAATCTATTGGATATAGATATGAACATCGATAGATTTATGTATTGTATAGAAAAATAATAATCTGATTTGGTCAATAACATCGTGAGTTTTTTATCGTATCCAAATTAAATATCTAATGACATGTGATGAGGCGTAACGTAACGCAACGCTTAAGAAGACGCGCGGGAAAATGAGTAAACAAAAAAAGCAGTAACCGTTAGATGTAGAACAAAAAAAATGGAGGGACCAGATCCGTTGCTTAACAAGAAAGATCAAACGAGAAAAGGTAATGAGTGTAGGTCCCACAAAGAGATGATAAAAGATTTTGTTAAAAAGGAAGATGCCATAGAATATTCGTAAGAGCCCGTCGTTTCTCTCATTACCTTCCAATAAATACTAACTTTTTATTATTTATTTTCTCCTTTTAAATTCAATCTTCTTCTTCACTCGTTACATTTGCATTACTACCGTTCTTCTTCTTCCTTTATCAACTGATTTTACCCTACAAAGCGAAAGAGAGAGAGAAGCGATGAGTTCTCAGATTTCGGAGATCGAGCAAGAGCAGTTGATCGAAAAGCTTGAGATCTTCAAGATCCATGGTAGAGACAAACATGGACGTAAAATCCTTCGTGTTATCGGAAAATCCTTCCCAGGTTAAAACTCATACAAATACGATCTGTTTCTGTATTTCTAATTTGGACCTCTTTTTTTTTGTGTTACAATCTGATTCTGATTTGAAATTTTCTCGAATCAGCGAAGTTTCTGTCACTTGATGTGTTGAAAAACTATCTAGAGGAAAAGATCTTTCCTCGATTGGGAAGAAAACCGTTCGTTGTACTCTACGTTCACACCGGTGTACAAAGAACAGAGAATTTCCCAGGAATCTCAGCTTTACGAGCGATCTACGAAGCGATCCCGTTAAACGTCAGAGACAATCTCCAAGAGGTTTATTTCCTCCATCCAGGCCTTCAATCACGTCTCTTCCTCGCCACTTGCGGCCGATTCCTCTTCTCCGGCGGGTGAGTTTTTTGTTTTTTTAGTTCTGGTCAACGAAATTCAAAAACGTCGTTTACTGATTGGTTTTGTTGGTGTGGTGATTGGCTACGGTAGGTTGTATGGTAAGGTAAGGTACATAAGCAGAGTTGATTATCTGTGGGAACACGTGAGGAGGAACGAAATTGAGATCCCTGAGTTTGTTTACGATCACGACGACGATTTAGAGTATCGTCCGATGATGGATTACGGTCAAGAGAGTGATCACGCTAGGGTTTTCACCGGAGCCGCCATGGATTCTTCAGTCTCCAGTTTCTCTATGAGGTGTATCTCATAAAAGGTCAAAATACCCACCCAACCAGATCTCGGATCGTATTATATAATATATGATTAGTAATTAAAAAAGTTGCGATTAGCGAGCCTTTTTTTATGGAAAAGAAAAGAAAAAAAAGTAGTTGGCCTTTGGATAAGGGAAGCGTGTGAGAAACTTAAGATTTTTCGTATCTTTTTTGTTTAATCTTATTTGGATAAATTTGTAGATCTTTTTTAGCTTTAGTGGTGGTAGTTGTGAGTTGTTGATGTGGAAAATGTATATGTAAATGTCATATCTTCAGTGAAATAAGCCATCTTTAATTTTGTATATAACAAGTGTCAAGTTTTCATTTCTATTACCAAATCCTAAAGTTCGATTAAATGGGTTAAGCTTCAGCAAGTCTATGTAAGCGGGTGGGCCACTATGACTTAAAGAGACGATGGGCCAAATGGCTAACCAACAAAAAACACTACTGTTTAGTGAAGAAAATATCTGAGGAGTTTAGCTATAGTATCACTGTAGCTTCATTATCTTTGCCGGTTTCTCATCGTCAAAAATACCTTCAGAAGATTTATCTAATGATGCGTTATGCTTCATCTTTATCCGGTTAACAAACTCTGAGAATGATGGAACTTGTGGGAGCCTTATAGGCGAACGACTCGGACTCACCACTAGCTGTTGTATTGGTTCATCGACCTGTGTCTCGGTCGTGTTAACGTTGTTGTCTTCTTCCTCTATGTTCTTGACTGGTTCAGTCACCAGCATCGATTCTGTTGATGGCTCTTCTTCTCTAGCTAAACTGACCACTGAGCTTAATCGGGTCATTAGCTCGTTTCTGCTTGCGGTTCCCAACCATCTCACTGTACTCGCTATCTGCGAGTAGTAAAACGATTTCCCTGCTTTGCTATATTTTCTATAGCACTCGTCTTCAAGAAACACAGATGCTTTTGAGGAATCAATCCTGCAATATTAATTTCAAAGTTCTAATTAATGAGATTAAGAGAGAGAGCTTCTTAAAAGTAAGCGAGAGATTTTTACTCTTCTACACAGGCGAGCAGCTGAAGTACTCGTGTCAGCTCATCCAAGAGTCTCTGCTTGCTCGATTCTCTTAGTGCTTCAGATATTGCGTTCTTCTCGGACTTTTTGACCTGCACACAGTTTGAATAGGCTTTGCTAAGTTAAACTGGAAGAAAGATGTAGAACTTTTTGTTTGTAAAGAAGCGAAAGTTCATCTGTTACCAAACCTGTTTATCCTTTTCGTAGTATTTTGCCTCAGCCCGCTCTAGTAAAACCAGTTTCTCGTCTAGTCCCAACTTTTTCGGTAGTTTAGGTTGTGCTAGGCTCTTAACAGCCTCAGTGTCATCTGAGTGTAGATGAAGGAGTTAGAGACTTTTAGGCAATACCACATGTTATTGACAAGATTGTAAATACATGCGTTATGTAAAGAGAGTGGGTTACCATCTGAATCTGATATTTCCTCATCAGAATTGCGTCCACTTCCATCTTCATTACGATTCCAGAACTCAGAGTACTGTCCCTCACTGGTCTTATCCTTCGAGCTAGCAAAAGAATGGGTACGGTTCAGTTAGACTTTGTATACATCTCGCAGCGCATTTAGATGCGGTTCAAAGGCAAAACCTGGTGATGAGAATTCGAGAAGAATTGTGTCTTCGGGAGGCAGTAGTCATGAGCTCCTCCAAGCAATGAGCAACTTGACTTGGATGCTTACATGCATCACACGTTTTTTTGCATTGCTGCACAGGAAACTGCTTGCAACAAAAAAATCAACGGCTTAATTTAATGGAACGCTGACGAATTTGATTCATGAACCAGTAATGTACAAGCCACACCTCTTCACCAAAGCTCTGAAGAATCTTTCTTCTTCGGCATCCAGGACCTTCGCAGTATGTCACAATCTAAATGCATGCAGCATGAATGAGAATTAGGTTCAACTGATATACACAGAGCTTCAAAGAAGCAAGAAAGGATTCACCTGTTCAAAGTCAGATGTAGGCTTCTTTGAGGATGGGGATTTCTTATTCTCTGAAGTCCGTAGTAGAAATTCCTAGCAAAGAGTTGGTAAAGTAAGTTGAATAATTTACATACTGAATGAAGCAGTTAAGCCAAAAACTGAAATAACCAGATAAACATTACCATTTTCTTTCTATCATCCACACCATAGTATAATACGCTTCTCGAGGGTAATTGATCCCGACCTGCTCTACCAGACTCTTGATAGAAAGATTCCATTGATTTTGGAATGTTAAAATGGCAAACCATTCTGACATCCTTCTTATCTATACCCTAGAAAGTCAAGTAGTCTTATATCATATTACAGTACATAAGAATTAAGAAACTTAAAAAGATGCAACATGGAAAGAATTTTTCGTTTACCATTCTGTAGAAAAACCATTAGAGCGTTGACCTCATGCACCAAGAGCTCCCAAACATAAGAAGACGCAAAGAAGATGATCATAAAAAAACCCAGAACCCAGATGTAAGGTAATTCACAGAGTCATTCATACCCGAAAGCCACTGTGGCAACAATAACTTGCTTCTTCGAGGACAACCAATCATCTAAAACACTACTCCTCAGTTTGCTATTAAGTCCAGCATGATAGGCTGTAAACATCAAGATAAACACATGTCAGCGGTTGTGGTTCAATATTGAAGCAGACAGGTACACGGACGTTCTCTTACCAGCAGAAGAGATCCCAGTACTGGAAAGATGAACAGACAAGTCATCACAGGTTGTACGCTCAAGACAATAGATAATTGCACAAATATTTCCACATGACTTGAGCAAGTTGCACAAATCAGTATATGCATTATCTAAAAGATCTTTGTATCGAACTGCACCAGCAAAAACTAATTTAGAAGATAAGAAAGCAAATCCAGAAAATCCATTCTTTTATACTACTGAAAAATTCTCGAACGAAACCATATTGGGAATACCTCATAACAGTTTATAGAGAGAAATATCATATACACAAATTAATAGCTCAAAGGGAAACCTTCATAGAAGATATTTGGGCGATTGAAAGAAGACTTGAGGACCAAAGGATTCCGCAAACTCAAGGAGTCGATAACATCCTTTTGTACCCTGCAAAAAAATTGCTGTTGAGAAAAGGCTCTACAATTTACACACATCTTCTTATAATAATGCACTGAAACAGAAGATTACTTAGGAGCAGCAGTAGCAGTTAGAGCCAATACTGGAACATCAGCCAAAGAATCTCTCAAGGTTGAAAGTTGACAATAGCTAGGTCTGTTTTATGACAAAACAAGTTAGATCATAGTAAGGTCATATGGACAAGAATTCTAACTCAAACACCAATATGAACCTGAAGTCATGGCCCCATGATGAGATGCAATGTGCCTGAAATATAAATAGTCGAGAGAAATTAGACCAACATTCAGGTTCAACACCTTAAGGTTTCCTGCTTACTCTTGTATAGACATTACAAGGCCTTACCTCGTCTATAGCTATAAGATTTAGTAAACCCCTGGCATGGAGTTTTCTCAGCTTCAACATAAATCCTTTCGTCGCAATCAATTCTGGAGTAACATACAGCAATCTTACAGAGGGTTTTCCAGAATCAAGGTCTTCGTGGATCTAGAAACCAAAGACAAGAATCACATCAAAGGAGATGAAACAATATAATAAATACAGGAAGTGATTTGGATAATCCAAGATATTTCGAGGAATGATCAACACCAACACTTGTAAGTGAAAAATGAAGAAATCATCCCAGTGATTCTATCAACATTATAACAAATCACATGGCATGTAACAAAAAGTATCC